CAAACCACAACCAACCAAAACCAAAACAACAAAACGCAAACATAACGCTAACACAATTACAAATACAAACGAAAACAAAAACCTAACAACAAACCCAACCACAACCACCAATACAAACACAAAGAAAAAACAAACAAAAAAGCAAACGAAAACAAAAACCTAACAACAAACCCAACCACAACCACAAACACCAATACCAACCAATAACAACACACACAAAAAAACGAAAAAGCAAACGAAAACAAACCAAATCCAAACGCAAAACCAACCAAAAACACAAATCCAAAGAAAAAAACACAAACAAAAACGAAAAAAGAAAGGACAAAAACGAACCAAATCAAACCGCAACCACTAACGCAAACCCAACCTAAACACAAAGAAAACACTAACGCGAACATAAACGCAAAGTGCTCATAGTCTAGCCCGGTGCGGAATCGCCTGTTTTAGCTTAATAAACGACTATAGTACCCCAACTTATTCATAGTCTTTTGCACTCACTTAAACGAACGCGCCTGTTTCAATTTAATGAACAATTATAATACTCCAAGCTTATCCGTAAAATACCTACAACATTTGCACTTGATCAATCCCCGCTAATTATGTAATTTTTTTTTCCCAACACCAAAACAAAGTAATAAAAAGTAAATTTTTTCCACTAATGCAATGGTTTTATAAAGGGAAGTAATTGTGTTTTCCTAATTTATCAAAGTAAGTGCTATAGGACTAAATAAAGACATAATTAGAATTTTTGTAAAAGATGATATTTTTTTAAAACTTGTGTTTAATGAACATGCCGAAAATTATTACTTTCAGTTTGATAAATGAAAATTATTTCCCAAAACTTTCAATATTAATTTTTTAACTCATAAATTTAGACCATAAGGACTTTAATTATCTAACACTTAAATCCATCGAAGATCCACGACAAACATATGTGTTACATACAGAATTGAGCTTTATATATTAGATATTCGAGAAAGTTTAGGGGAGACCACTCGCGGTTTATTTCTCATTTACGTTAAAGCTACACTTGCTATTTTTTTTTTTTTTTTTTTTTTGCTAGGACTAGGACGGTGTAAAAAGTTTTACACACGATACATTTGAGATATTTTGTTTTTTCCTATTTGAATCGAATCATACGGGCTTGTTGCTGACCAGAAGAAAGCAAGCAACAGGCGGTTTTCTGTTGAACTCTGGTAGTTTGGTGCAGTGTTTCTTTCAGACTTTTTTCTCCGAAGGGGGGGGGGGCACTTGATATTTTCGGTGCATTTATATACGGTTTTTTTTTAATATTTGTTTTATTCCTATAAATAAAAAAACTGAAAACTATCGGGAAAATTCGTTTTTCTCCCTGGCGATATATCTTGACAGAGTCAATGTCACCTCCGTGCAGATGTCAAATGTGTATGGTGGGTGTGTCCAATGTGTGTGGTGGGTGTGTCCAATGTGTGTGGTGGGTGTGTCCAATGTGTGTGGTGGGTGTGTCCAATGTGTGTGGTGGGTGTGTCCAATGTGTGTGGTGGGTGTGTCCAAGGTGTGTGTGTCCAATGTGTGTGGTGTGTGTGTCCAATGTGTGTGGTGGGTGTGTCCAATGTGTGTGGTGGGTGTGTCCAATGTGTGGTGGGTGTGTCCAAGGTGTGTGTGTCCAATGTGTGTGGTGGGTGTGTCCAATGTGTGTGGTGGGTGTGTCCAATGTGTGTGGTGGGTGTGTCCAATGTGTGTGGTGGGTGTGTCCAATGTGTGTGGAGGCTGTGTCCAATGTGTGTGGTGGCTGTGTCCAATGTGTGTGGTGGGTGTGTCCAATGTGTGTGGTGGGTGTGTCCAATGTGTGTGGTGGGTGTGTCCAATGTGTGTGGTGGGTGTGTCCAATGTGTGTGGTGGGTGTGTCCAATGTGTGTGGTGGGTGTGTCCAATGTGTGTGGTGGGTGTGTCCAATGTGTGTGGTGGGTGTGTCCAATGTGTGTGGTGGGTGTGTCAAATGTGTGTGGTGACACATGGAGTGACTCACAAACAACTTGTTGCAGCCAACTCTTGGTTGAGTACACTGATTTACAGCAAACTATGCCAATACAAGGCTGACAGAGACAGAATGAAATCAAACTATGCCAATACTAGGCTGACAGAGACAGAATGAAATCAAACTATGCCAATACAAGGCTGAAAGAGACAGAATGAAATCAAACTATGCCAATACAAGGCTGAAAGAGACAGAATGAAATCAAACTATGCCAATACTAGGCTGACAGAGACAGAATGAAATCAAACTATGCCAATACAAGGCTGAAAGAGACAGAATGAAATCAAACTATGCCAATACAAGGCTGAAAGAGACAGAATGAAATCAAACTATGCCAATACAAGGCTGAAAGAGACAGAATGAAATCAAACTATGCCAATACTAGGCTGACAGAGACAGAATGAAATCAAACTATGCCAATACAAGGCTGAAAGAGACAGAATGAAATCAAACTATGCCAATACAAGGCTGAAAGAGACAGAATGAAATCAAACTATGCCAATACAAGGCTGAAAGAGACAGAATGAAATCAAACTATGCCAATACAAGGCTGAAAGAGACAGAATGAAATCAAACTATGCCAATACTAGGCTGAAAGAGACAGAATGAAATCAAACTATGCCAATACAAGGCTGAAAGAGACAGAATGAAATCAAACTATGCCAATACAAGGCTGAAAGAGACAGAATGAAATCAAACTATGCCAATACAAGGCTGAAAGAGACAGAATGAAATCAAACTATGCCAATACTAGGCTGAAAGAGACAGAATGAAATCAAACTATGCCAATACAAGGCTGAAAGAGACAGAATGAAATCAAACTATGCCAATACAAGGCTGAAAGAGACAGAATGAAATCAAACTATGCCAATACAAGGCTGAAAGAGACAGAATGAAATCAAACTATGCCAATACAAGGCTGACAGAGACAGAATGAAATCAAACTATGCCAATACAAGGCTGAAAGAGACAGAATGAAATCAAACTATGCCAATACAAGGCTGACAGAGACAGAATGAAATCAAACTATGCCAATACTAGGCTGACAGAGACAGAATGAAATCAAACTATGCCAATACTAGGCTGAAAGAGACAGAATGAAATCAAACTATGCCAATACTAGGCTGAAAGAGACAGAATGAAATCAAACTATGCCAATACTAGGCTGAAAGAGACAGAATGAAATCAAACTATGCCAATACAAGGCTGAAAGAGACAGAATGAAATCAAACTATGCCAATACTAGGCTGAAAGAGACAGAATGAAATCAAACTATGCCAATACAAGGCTGAAAGAGACAGAATGAAATCAAACTATGCCAATACAAGGCTGAAAGAGACAGAATGAAATCAAACTATGCCAATACAAGGCTGAAAGAGACAGAATGAAATCAAACTATGCCAATACAAGGCTGAAAGAGACAGAATGAAATCAAACTATGCCAATACAAGGCTGACAGAGACAGAATGAAATCAAACTATGCCAATACAAGGCTGAAAGAGACAGAATGAAATCAAACTATGCCAATACAAGGCTGACAGAGACAGAATGAAATCAAACTATGCCAATACTAGGCTGACAGAGACAGAATGAAATCAAACTATGCCAATACTAGGCTGAAAGAGACAGAATGAAATCAAACTATGCCAATACTAGGCTGACAGAGACAGAATGAAATCAAACTATGCCAATACAAGGCTGAAAGAGACAGAATGAAATCAAACTATGCCAATACAAGGCTGAAAGAGACAGAATGAAATCAAACTATGCCAATACTAGGCTGAAAGAGACAGAATGAAATCAAACTATGCCAATACAAGGCTGAAAGAGACAGAATGAAATCAAACTATGCCAATACTAGGCTGAAAGAGACAGAATGAAATCAAACTATGCCAATACTAGGCTGAAAGAGACAGAATGAAATCAAACTATGCCAATACAAGGCTGAAAGAGACAGAATGAAATCAAACTATGCCAATACTAGGCTGAAAGAGACAGAATGAAATCAAACTATGCCAATACAAGGCTGAAAGAGACAGAATGAAATCAAACTATGCCAATACTAGGCTGAAAGAGACAGAATGAAATCAAACTATGCCAATACTAGGCTGAAAGAGACAGAATGAAATCAAACTATGCCAATACTAGGCTGAAAGAGACAGAATGAAATCAAACTATGCCAATACTAGGCTGACAGAGACAGAATGAAATCAAACTATGCCAATACAAGGCTGAAAGAGACAGAATGAAATCAAACTATGCCAATACAAGGCTGAAAGAGACAGAATGAAATCAAACTATGCCAATACTAGGCTGACAGAGACAGAATGAAATCAAACTATGCCAATACAAGGCTGAAAGAGACAGAATGAAATCAAACTATGCCAATACTTACTAGGCTGACAGAGACAGAATGAACCAGTAGAAACTCAATTTTAGCCCTTATTTTGCGTAAACTGTAGTAGAAATTGATAACTATAACCAGTTAATATTTTAGCTTATTTCTAATGAGTTCAGTAATCAGAGAAAAGCAAAAACTTCTGATGGGGTTGTAGTCGGAGATATGACGTCATTTCAGGGTGGAGGTCTGGCTTTTTGTGATGTGTGATAAAGGAGGGGGAAGGGTCAAATAAAAGATGTGACATCATGGATGAATGCAGAGGCATAGTAGCTACCCTTCCCGGCGCCTGGGGACAAACTTTTCAATTTGCACCCCCCCCCTCCCCCTCAAACTTTCGATTTGCACCCCCTCAAACTTTCAATTTATTTTTCCAACCCATTTTGGCGCCCCCTAAGGTCGGCGCCCGGGGACATATGTCCCCCCCCCCCTGCTACGCTACTGAATGAATAACCTCTGAAATAAAATACTTATAGAATAATTTCATTACTCAGTATAGTTTTATTTACAAAGACAAGAGTTTGTTTCAAGCAATATCTTGAGCTGGTAAAATACTTATAGAATAATTTCATTACTCAGTATAGTTTTATTTACAAAGACAAGGGTTTGTTTCAAGCAATATCTTGAGCTGGTAAAATACTTATAGAATAATTTCATTACTCAGTATAGTTTTATTTACAAAGACAAGGGTTTGTTTCAAACAATATCTTGAGCTGGTTGGCTGATCAAAGCTAATGGTCCCAAACAACTTTTACAAAAACTAATAGTATTTAGCAATGCACAGAATGGCACAGATATCTGTCATCTATCTGGCACAGATATCTGTCATCTATCTGGCATCTATCTGGCACAGATATCTGCCATCTATCTGGCATCTATCTGGCACAGATATCTGACAGTTGTGTCAACTTGACCCAACTGTCCAGATGTCAGTGGTGGACAATCAACAGACGGGCACGTCCTTTAATTAGATGAATGGGTCAAGGCCACTTAACACAGCCAATCAGAAGGTCCTCTTCAACTAGCCAATCAAAAGGTCCTCTTCAACTAGCCAATCAGAAGGTCCTCTTCAACTAGCCAATCAGAAGGTCCTCTTCAACTAGCCAATCAGAAGGTCCTCTTCAACTAGCCAATCAAAAGGTCCTCTTCAACTAGCCAATCAGAAGGTCCTCTTCAACTAGCCAATCAAAAGGTCCTCTTCAACCTGCTGTTTTCCTCCTTGAGTCTCTGGATCTCCTCCAACAGGGCGGGGTTGATCTGGCATTCAGCAAACCCTAGCTCCATTCTCTTCTGAAAGGTCAAGGTCACAGAAACTTGACTGATACATTCATTAAGTTTTGTGCCAGTAACAAGTTTTGTGCCAGTAACAAGTTGTGTGCCAGTAACAAGTTGTGTGCCAGTAACAAGTTGTGTGCCAGTAACAAGTTGTGTGCCAGTAACAAGTTGTGTGCCAGTAACAAGTTGTGTGCCAGTAACAAGTTGTGTGCCAGTAACAAGTTTGGTGCCAGTAACAAGTTTGGTGCCAGTAACAAGTTTTGTGCCAGTAACAAGTTGTGTGCCAGTAACAAGTTGTGTGCCAGTAACAAGTTGTGTGCCAGTAACAAGTTGTGTGCCAGTAACAAGTTGTGTGCCAGTAACAAGTTGTGTGCCAGTAACAAGTTTTGTGCCAGTAACAAGTTGTGTGCCAGTAACAAGTTGTGTGCCAGTAACAAGTTGTGTGCCAGTAACAAGTTGTGTGTCAGTAACAAGTTGTGTGCCAGTAACAAGTTGTGTGTCAGTAACAAGTTTGGTACCTGGAGCTGAAAGACCTGTTTGATGAGCTCCACCTGCACACACCAGAACTCCTTGTGTATAAAATCCTTCAAGTCCTCCAGTTCCTCTCTGACCAGATTTCTCAGGAACTCCGCATGAAAAACTTCAGGATTTTTCTGCATTGAAATGTTTGTTGTGGGCTGGAAGAAGGACAAAATTTCAGAAAGGTTTGTTTCTGCCACACGTCTTATCTCACACAATGACCATCCTACCACCATCTTATACCACCAATCTACCATCATCTTATACCACCATCCTACCATCATCTTATACCACCATCCTACCATCATCTTATACCACCATCATCTTATACCACCATCCTACCATCATATTATACCACCATCATCTTATACCACCATCCTACCATCATCTTATACCACCATCATACCATCATCTTATACCACCAACCTACCATCATCTTATACCACCATCATCTTATACCACCATCATCATCCTACCACCATCTTATACCACCATCCTATGATCTTATACCACCATCATACCATCACAATCTTATACCATCCTACCATCTTATACCACCATCATACCATCACCATCTTATACCACCATCCTACCATCAACATTTTATACCACCATCATCTTATACCACCATCCTATAACAACCATCCTACCACCATCTTATACCAACATCATACCATCACCATCTTATACAACCAATCTGCCATCATCTTATACCAACAATCTACCATCATCTTATACCACCATCCTACCATCATCTTATACCACCATCTTATACCACCATCTTATACCACCATCTTATACCACCATCATAAATCACCATCCTACTACCATCTTATACCACCATCCTACCATCTTATACCACCATCATATACCACCATCTTACAATCAACATTTTATACCACCACCATACCATCATCTTATACCACCATCCTACCATCATCTTATACCACCAATCTACCATCATCTCATACCTCCGGCCTACCATCATCCTACACCACCATCCTACCCTCATCTTATACCGCCATCATCTTATACCACCATCCTACCATCATCTTATACCACCATCATCTTATACCACCATCCTACCATCATCTTATACCACCATCCTACCATCATCTTATACCACCATCTTACCATCATCTTATACCACCATCCTACCATCATCTTATACCACCACCATCTTATACCACAAATCTACCATCATCTTATACCACCATCATCTTATACCACAATCGTCTTATACCACCATCTACCATCATCTTATACCATCATCCTATACCACCATCATACCGTCACCATCCTACCATTCTCATCTTACACCCACATCCTACAATCATCCCATATCGCCATCCTACCATCAACATCTTAAATCACCATCCTATCATAAGCATGATCTACACCAACACACCCTACCACACCAACACACCCTACCACACCACCTCTACACCCTACCACACCACCTCTACACCAACACACCATACCACACCACCTCTACACCAACACACCCTACCACACCACCTCTACACCAACACACCCTACCACACCACCTCTACACCAACACACCATACCACACCACCTCTACACCAACACACCCTACCACACCACCTCTACACCAACACACCCTACCACACCACCTCTACACCAACACACCCTACCACACCACCTCTACACCAACACACCTTAACACACCACCTCTACACCAACACACCATACCACACCACCTCTACACCAACACACCATAACACACCACCTCTAAACCAACACACCTTAACACACCACCTCTACACCAACACACCATACCACACCACCTCTACACCAACACACCTTAACACACCACCTCTACACAAACACACCCTAACACACCACCTCTACACCAACACACCATACCACACCACCTCTACACCAACACACCCAACCACACCACCTCTACACCAACACACCTTAACACACCACCTCTACACAAACACACCCTAACACACCACCTCTACACCAACACACCTTAACACACCACCTCTACACCAACACACCATACCACACCACCTCTACACCAACACACCATACCACACCACCTCTACACCAACACACCCTACCACACCACCTCTACACAAACACACCCTAACACACCACCTCTACACCAACACACCTTAACACACCACCTCTACACCAACACACCATACCACACCACCTCTACACCAACACACCTTAACACACCACCTCTACACCAACACACCATACCACACCACCTCTACACCAACACACCATACCACACCACCTCTACACCAACACACCATACCACACCACCTCTACACCAACACACCTTAACACACCACCTCTACACAAACACACCCTAACACACCACCTCTACACCAACACACCATACCACACCACCTCTACACCAACACACCATACCACACCACCTCTACACCAACACACCATACCACACCACCTCTAAACCCTACCACACCACCTCTACACCAACACACCTTAACACACCACCTCTACACCAACACACCTTAACACACCACCTCTACACCAACACACCATACCACACCACCTCTACACCAACACACCATACCACACCACCTCTACACCAACACACCCAACCACACCACCTCTACACCAACACACCTTAACACACCACCTCTACACAAACACACCCTAACACACCACCTCTACACCGACACACCATACCACACCACCTCTACACCAACACACCATACCACACCACCTCTACACCAACACACCATACCACACCACCTCTACACCAACACACCATACCACACCACCTCTACGCCACCTCTAAACCCTACCACACCACCTCTACACCAACACACCTTAACACACCACCTCTACACAAACACACCCTAACACACCACCTCTACACCAACACACCATACCACACCACCTCTACACCAACACACCATACCACACCACCTCTACACCAACACACCATACCACACCACCTCTACACCAACACACCATACCACACCACCTCTACACCAACACACATTAACACACCACCTCTACACCAACACACCATACCACACCACCTCTACACCAACACACCATACCACACCACCTCTACACCAACACACCATACCACACCACCTCTACGCCACCTCTAAACCCTACCACACCACCTCTACACAAACACACCTTAACACACCACCTCTACACCAACACACCATACCACACCACCTCTACACCAACACACCATACCACACCACCTCTACACCAACACACCATACCACACCACCTCTACACCAACACACCATACCACACCACCTCTACACCAACACACATTAACACACCACCTCTACACCAACACACCATACCACACCACCTCTACACCAACACACCATACCACACCACCTCTACACCAACACACCATACCACACCACCTCTACGCCACCTCTAAACCCTACCACACCACCTCTACACAAACACACCTTAACACACCACCTCTACACCAACACACCATACCACACCACCTCTACACCAACACACCATACCACACCACCTCTACACCAACACACCATACCACACCACCTCTACGCCACCTCTAAACCCTACCACACCACCTCTACACCAACACACCTTAACACACCACCTCTACACCAACACACCATACCACACCACCTCTACACCAACACACCATACCACACCACCTCTACACCAACACACCATACCACACCACCTCTACGCCACCTCTAAACCCTACCACACCACCTCTACACAAACACACACTAACACACCACCTCTACACCATACCACACCACCTCTACACCAACACACATAGAACACCAACACACCCTAACGCAACACCATTACTACCAAAAGTTAGCAGATATCTGCCAAAATCTTGTATTTCTAATTTCATTTAGATTTTTACAATTTATTTCTGTATGAAAGAAATTATCCTTTGGTAAATCTTACATATAATAGCTACAACTATCAACCATCAAAATGTTAAAATCTGTGAAAACATGGAATGACAGTCACAAATGGGGGTTGTCTGTTGGAATGTGTGAATTCAGGTGTGTGATGTCAAGTGTGTGATGTCAGGTGTGTGATGTCAGGTGTGTGATGTCAAGTGTGTGATGTCAGGTGTATGATGTCAGATGTCAGGTGTGTGATGTCAGATGTCAGGTGTGTGATGTCAGGTGTCAGGTGTGTGGTGTCAGGTGTGTGGTGTCAGGTGTGTGATGTCAGATGTCAGGTGTGTGATGTCAAGTGTGTGATGACAGGTGTGTGATCTCAGGTGTGTGATGTCAGGTGTGTGATGTCAGGTGTGTGATGACAGGTGTGTGATGTCAGGTGTGTGATGTCAGATGTCAGGTGTGTGATCTCAGGTGTGTGGTGTTAGGTGTGTGATGTCAGATGTCAGGTGTGTGATGTCAAGTGTGTGATGACAGGTGTGTGATGTCAGATGTCAGGTGTGTGATATCAGATGTCAGGTGTGTGATGTCAGGTGTGTGATGTCAGGTGTGTGATGTCAAGTGTGTGGTGTCAGGTGTGTGATGTCAGGTGTGTGGTGTCAGGTGTGTGGTGTCAGGTGTGTGATGACAGGTGTGTGATCTCAGGTGTGATGTCAGGTGTGTGATATCAGATGTCAGGTGTGTGATGTCAGGTGTGTGATGTCAGATGTCAGGTGTGTGGTGTCAGGTGTGTGATGTCAGGTGTGTGATGACAGGTGTGTGATGTCAGATGTCAGGTGTGTGATCTCATGTGTGTTGTTAGGTGTGTGATGTCAGATGTCAGGTGTGTGATGTCAAGTGTGTGATGACAGGTGTGTGATCTCAGGTGTGTGATGTCAGGTGTGTGATGTCAGGTGTGTGATGTCAGGTGTGTGATGTCAGTTTTGTGATGTCAGATGTCAGGTGTGTGGTGTCAGGTGTGTGATGTCAGTTTTGTGATGTCAGATGTCAGGTGTGTGGTGTCAGGTGTGTGGTGTCAGGTGTGTGATGTCAGATGTCAGGTGTGTGATGTCAAGTGTGTGATGACAGGTGTGTGATCTCAGGTGTGTGATGTCAGGTGTGTGATGTCAGGTGTGTGATGTCAGATGTCAGGTGTGTGATGTCAGGTGTGTGATGTCAGGTGTGTGATGTCAGGTGTGTGATGTCAGGTGTGTGATGTCAGGTGTGTGATGTCAGGTGTGTGGTGTCAAGTGTGTGATGTCAGATGTCAGGTGTGTGGTGTCAGGTGTGTGATGTTAGATGTCAGGTGTGTGATGTCAGGTGTGTGATGTCAGATGTCAGGTGTGTGGTGTCAGGTGTGTGATGTCAGATGTGTGATGTCAGGTGTGTGATGTCAGGTGTGTGATGTCAGGTGTGTAGTGTCGGGTGTGTAGTGTCAGGTGTGTAGTGTCAGGTGTGTGATGTCAGGTGTGTGATGTCAGGTGTGTGATGTCAGGTGTGTGGTGTCAGGTGTGTGATGTCAGGTGATATCAGGTGTGTAGTGTCAGGTGTGTGATGTCAGATGTGTGATGTCAGGTGTGTGATGTCAGGTGTGTGATGTCAGGTGTGTGATGTCAGGTGTGTGATGTCAGGTGTGTGATGTCAGGTGTGTGATGTCAGGTGTGTGATGTCAGGTGTGTGATGTCAGGTGTGTGATGTCAGGTGTGTGATGTCAGGTGTGTGATATCAGGTGTGTAGTGTCAGGTGTGTGATGTCAGATGTCAGGTGTGTGATGTCAGGTGTGTGATGTCAGGTGTGTGATGTCAGGTGTGTGATGTCAGATGTCAGGTGTGTGGTGTCAGGTGTGTGATGTCAGGTGTGTGATGTCAGATGTCAGGTGTGTGGTGTCAAGTGTGTGATGTCAGGTGTGTGATGTCAGGTGTGTGATGTCAGATGTCAGGTGTGTGATGTCAGGTGTGTAGTGTCAGGTGTGTGATATCAGATGTAAGGTGTGTGATGTCAGGTGTGTGGTGTCAGGTGTGTGATGTCAGGTGTGTGATGTCAAGTGTGTGGTGTCAGGAGTGTGATGTCAGGTGTGTGATGTCAGGTGTGTGATGTCAGGTGTGTGGTGTCAGGTGTGTGATGTCAGGTGTGTGATGTCAAGTGTGTGGTGTCAGGTGTGTGATGTCAGGTGTGTGATGTCAGGTGTGTAGTGTCGTGTGATATCAGATGTCAGGTGTGTGATGTCAGGTGTGTGGTGTCAGGTGTGTGATGTCAGGTGTGTGATGTCAAGTGTGTGGTGTCAGGTGTGTGATGTCAGGTGTGTGGTGTCAGGTGTGTGGTGTCAGGTGTGTGATGTCAGGTGTGTGATGTCAGGTGTGTGATGTCAGGTGTGTTTACCTGTGTCGGGGCACCAGACTGGCCCAACATGAACTTGATCTCAGACTTGAGATGCTGGTGGTGCTCCCTGAACTGTTCACTCAACAGCTCCTGAACAAGGTGGCGGATGGACCAGACAGCAGGGGCGGAGCTCCCGTCTGATGACAAGACAGTAGGGGCGGAACTTCTGTCTGATGACGAGACAGACTTAACAGGGGTGCTGGTATCTGGAGACATTTGAGTAAAACATCTACAAGCACATGCTACTTGGTGTTAGCCCACCAGCCCACACTAGACAGACAGACAGACAGACAGACAGACAGACAGACAGACAGACAGACAGACAGACAGACAGACAGACAGACAGACAGACAGACAGACAGACAGACAGACAGACAGACAGACAGACAGACAGACAGACAGACAGACAGACAGACAGACAGACAGACAGACAGACAGACAGACAGACAGACAGACAGACAGACAGACAGACAGACAGACAGACAGACAGACAGACAGACAGACAGACAGACAGACAGACAGACAGACAGACAGACAGACAGACAGACAGACAGACAGACAGACAGACAGACAGACAGACAGACAGACAGACAGACAGACAGACAGACAGACAGACAGACAGACAGACAGACAGACAGACAGACAGACAGACAGACAGACAGACAGACAGACAGACAGACAGACAGACAGACAGACAGACAGACAGACAGACAGACAGACAGACAGACAGACAGACAGACAGACAGACAGACAGACAGACAGACAGACAGACAGACAGACAGACAGACAGACAGACAGACAGACAGACAGACAGACAGACAGACAGACAGACAGACAGACAGACAGACAGACAGACAGCACATCACCTACCACTTTTCTTTTCTGCTAGTTGACTGGTGTTTAACCTGAAGTAAGAAAATTTCAACAACTATTTAGTTGACAACCTACGTCTTCAAGTCAGCTATTTTGTTAACTTTAAGGGCATGGGCGGGTGATAAAAAGCAAATTATCCAAAATGGTTATTTATAAAACTAATACTTTTATATCTAGTATATAGTTATAACTCAGAGAGGTAAGTCTAAAATTTGAAAAATGGGCGAAAATTGCCTGCTGTTCCCATGGCGATGGTGGCCATCTTGGAATGTTTTACAATTTTAACATTGAAATAGCTTTTTTAGATATTATTGAAATTGATCCAAATTTTCTCTAGTTATTTTGTAAACATATACCTACAAAACTGATATTACAAATTTTTTAAAAATTGTATGGTTTTTCTTTTAAAGTTAAAATGGTGCATTTTTTGCACAAATTTCAATTTTTTACTTTCTTGTATAGAGAAAGTCTTGTAATCGTGCAAAAAAGAAAATATAGATTTTTACAAATCTCAACGTTTTACACCTCATGATACGGAAAAACATAATTTTGCAATCTTGTCCGTATGTCTGTCTGTCTGTGTGTAAACACGATAACTGGAGTACCGTTACGGCTAGTATGGCTAGGTTGATGAAATTTCATATATAAATATTTTATCAAAATCGTAGATCCTGATCAACTTTTGAGCGATTTCTGATAACCGGAAGTGGTACTTTTTCTACTTTGAATTTTTCAAAAGCCTATAACTTGAGTACTATTTCAGATAGATAAATAAAATTTCACATGTAAGTAAAAGATCTAATTCTCTGCCTTCTGTCAAATTTTGAGTAATTTCCGTTGACCGGAAGTACTAATTTATGCTATTTTCGATTTCTCAAAAAACGCATGTAAATTTATAAAGTACTAATAATATTGCACACTATTATGCACATTTTGTTTAGGCGTTCGCTTGGTACGCAATTCTTTTTTCTACGAGATTCTATTCTATTTTTAAAAGTTATTTAAAATCATGTCTGTATTCCGAGTTATATAAGAATATTTGAGAAAGTTTAGGGGAGATCACTCCCGGTTTATTTTAAAGTGACTTTAAAAAAAATATTTGTAAAAACTCAAGTATTTGAAAATATAATTGATCAGAATTGTTACTAACATGTATTTCTATAATCCTGTAAGTTTTTATTGAAATCGCATATGCCATCTTTGAGTTATTTTGATTTAAAGGGTAAATAAAATCCAAGATGTCCCCATCACCATGGTAATGGCAGGAAACTTTTGGCCATTTTGAACTTTTAGACTTAATTCTTTCAGTTATAACTTATATTCTAAATATGATAGCCTTAGGTTTATAAATAAGCATTTTGGATAATTTGCTTTTCATCACCTGTCCATGCCCTTAAGTCAGCTATTTTGTTGAGTACCCATGTCCTTAAGTCAGCTATTTTGTTGAGTACCCATGTCCTTAAGTCAGCTATTTTGTTGAGTACCCATGTCCTTAAGTCAGCTATTTTGTTGAGTACCCATGTCCTTAAGTCAGCTATTTTGTTGAGTACCCATGTCCTTAAGTCAGCTATTTTGTTGAGTACCCATGTCCTTAAGTCAGCTATTTTGTTGAGTACCCATGTCCTTAAGTCAGCTATTTTGTTGAGTACCCATGTCCTTAAGTCAGCTATTTTGTTGAGTACCCATGTCCTTAAGTCAGCTATTTTGTTGAGTACCCATGTCCTTAAGTCAGCTATTTTGTTGACTATCCATGCCCTTAAGTCAGCTATTTTGTTGAGTATCCATGCCCTTAAGTCAGCTATTTTGTTGAGTACCCATGTCCTTAAGTCAGCTATTTTGTTGAGTACCCATGTCCTTGAACTTTGATACTGCAGTCACAAGTTGACAGTACCTTGATTGTATCAGGTGACTTCCATTTGATCCAGGTGACTTAAGAGGTGTTCTGTCAGTCCTCTGGTGTGGGGGAGACGATCTGTCAGCCCTCTGGTGTGGGGGAGACGATCTGTCAGCCCTCTGGTGTGGGGGAGACGATCTGTCAGGCCTCTGGTGTGGGGGAGACGATCTGTCAGCCCTCTGGTGTGGGGGAGACGATCTGTCAGCCCTCTGGTGTGGGGGAGACGATCTGTCAGCCCTCTGGTGTGGGGGAGACGATCTGTCAGCCCTCTGGTGTGGGGGAGACGATCTGTCAGTCCTCTGGTGTGGGGACTCCCCATTCGGAGGAAACATTAGAGGACTGACATCCAGGTTGATGTCATGTGGAGGTTTGTCAGCTGTATGATACATTTTAAAAATGTCAACTGTATGATACATTTTTAAAATGTCAACTGTATGATACATTTTAAAAATGTCAACTGTATGATACATTTTAAAAATGTCATCTGTATGATACATTTTTAAAATGTCAACTGTATGATACATTTTAAAAATGTCAACTGTATGATACATTTTAAAAATGTCAACTGTATGATACATTTTTAAAATGTCAACTGTATGATACATTTTAAAAATGTCAACTGTATGATACATTTTTAAAATGTCAACTGTATGATACATTTTAAAAATGTCAACTGTATGATACATTTTAAAATTGTCATCTGTATGATACATTTTAAAAATGTCATCTGTATGATACAATTAAAAAATGTGAAAGCTTCTACACTTAAAAATATTTTGTTTTAGATATAAAAGCAACTAGGCTTAGTGGTTAAGTTTTAGGTTAAAAAACAAAATGTCTCAGATAGGTTATTATGGTTTAGGGTATCTATGTGTTTACCAAGTGAAGTTGCCAGTAGATTAGGGTTATCAGCAAACCCATGAACTGCAGTGCTGGAGACATGGGATAGATCATTGACTGAGTTCTCTGTTGATGCAAGAATCTGAACAAAATGAAAAGTACACATTATTCAGGGTACTGACCATGACTCCAGATATAATGTTCTCATTTCTACACTTTAAAGTTTGATCATGTCTGTATATATGTCTACTAGCTGTATAACCGTGCTCCGCCACAATGAATCTTTTTTAAATGTACCAACTTAAGGCTGCAGCCTTCTCAGCCCCCCCCCCCCTTACTGCCTGGGGCATCTGAGTTTTGTGGGTAAACATGCACACCAACAACTAAGATCCAATACAGCACCTCAACATCAAAACAAAAGGTCACACATTTTAAATTACATCATTTCCATCACATTGATGAAACGCTTCTAAAATGTCAATCAGGTTGAAACAGCGACCTAGAGGGGGTCTAAGTATGTCTGAGATAAATAACTAATTTAAAAATTGCTAAAAGCTTTGAATCAATGAATAACAAATGTGGTCTAGTAGGAAGTGTAACCATATAATACCTGCATAAGGAAGGAGTTATTGCCCATTAATGAACTGCTACCATGTAAACTGTTGATACTGTGAGAGTCATTACGCAGAGGAGAGAACACACCTTCACCTGGAAGATAGTGAGTGGACTCTAGTCAATGAGTGGACCCTGGTCAGTGAGCGGACCCTGGTCAGTGAGTGGACCCTGGTCAGTGAGTGAGTGGACCATGGTCAGTGAGTAAGTGGACCCTGGTCAGTGAGTGGACCCTGGTCAGTGAGTGAGTGGACCATGGTCAGTGAGTAAGTGGACCCTGGTCAGTGAGTGGACCCAGGTCAGTGAGTGGACCCTGGTCAGTGAGTGAGTGGACCCTGGTCAGTGAGTGAGTGGACCCTGGTCAGTGAGTAAGTGGACCCTGGTCAGTGAGTGAGTGGACCCTGGTCAGTGAGTGGACCCAGGTCAGTGAGTGAGTGGACCCTGGTCAGTGAGTGGACCATGGTCAGTGAGTGGACCCTGGTCAGTGAGTAAGTGGACCCTGGTCAGTGAGTGAGTGGACCCTGGTCAGTGAGTGGACCCTGGTCAGTGAGTAAGTGGACCCTGGTCAGTGAGGGGACCCTGGTCAGTCAGTGAGTGAGTGGACCCTGGTCAGTGAGTGGACCCTGGTCAGTGAGTGGACCATGGTCAGTGAGTGGACCCTGGTCAGTGAGTGAGTGGACCCTGGTCAGTGAGTGGACCCTGGTCAGTGAGTGGACCCTGGTCAGTGAGTGGACCCTGGTCAGTGAGTGAGTGGACCCTGGTCAGTGAGGGGACCCTGGTCAGTGAGTAAGTGGACCCTGGTCAGTGAGGGGACCCTGGTCAGTGAGTGAGTGGACCCTGGTCAGTGAGTGGACCCTGGTCAGTGAGTAAGTGGACCCTGGTCAGTGAGTGGACCCTGGTCAGTGAGTGAGTGGACCCTGGTCAGTGAGGGGACCCTGGTCAGTGAGTAAGTGGACCCTGGTCAGTGAGTGGACCCTGGTCAGTGAGTGAGTGGACCCTGGTCAGTGAGTGGACCCTGGTCAGTGAGTGAGTGGACCCTGGTCAGTGAGTAAGTGGACCCTGGTCAGTGAGTGGACCCTGGTCAGTGAGTGGACCCTGGTCAGTGAGTGGACCCTGGTCAGTCAGTGAGTGGACCCTGGTCAGTGAGTAAGTGGACCCTGGTCAGTGAGTGGACCCTGGTCAGTGAGTGGACCCTGGTCAGTGAGTGGACCCTGGTCAGTGAGTGAGTGGACCCTGGTCAGTGAGTGAGGGGACCCTGGTCAGTGAGTGAGTGGACCCTGGTCATTGAGTGAGAAGTCCAAAGTAAAATCTGACCTAAATGAGTGATGTCAGCAGCAGCAACAGATTTGTTATACATCCAAGACCTCTCATTCCCAGACTGCTCTGCTACTGAAGCATTGCTTTTGTTGCCTACAGGAGATAATTCAGTTTGATCACACACATATTTAGTGTATTCTACCTAAGACATCTAAACTTGTATTCTACCAAATACATGCTAGTACATATAAACATTTATTCTACCTAACACTTCCTAGTACATACAAACAAAAAAAATTTGTATCATTGTATTTTGTTTTCTTCACTAGTTTGTAACTTTCAATTATAAAGGTACTTTATCTCAATAAATTTATATGTACCACATTGGGTCTCTGATATTTATTTAACCATTAATAGTTTAATTTATGGTATTTCATAAATTATTTTAGGCCCTATTGCTTTTTCTGCAGTGTCACCTGTATGATCCCCTAATATTATTCCTGCTATATTTATTCTCTGACATTTTACATTTTATTAATACTCGTTAGATTTTCGTGATATCTTGTATTCTATGACTTAGTACAGTCTTCACAAATGCCCAGAAGACACTCGCATGAATGCCATTTTCCCAAAAATAAAATATTTAAATATATTATTAAGTAGAAATTCTTAATCCAATTATAATTAACAATTTGTTGATTGATAGAATTCTAATGATACAAACTGAGCCATACATAATACATTCTCAGCTATGTGAACAATGTCATCTGAAGAAAATTGTGCTCAAATATGAAGACATTGACAGAAAAGGAGAAATAATTTTGATTGTGGATCAATAGGTGCCACCAGTTACAATTCTCTTTGGGCTAAGGCAGGGGTCGGCAACCTTTTAAAGAGGAAGAGCCAAAAGTTACAATTTTCAAAATTTCCCTAGGTATAAAGAGCCACTAACATTTTTTTATTTCAAATATTTTATTTTTTTATTAAGATTATTAGTATTTGTTCACGGAGCTGGAGAGCCGCATCTTGATATCAAAAGAGCCGCATGCGGCTCGTGAGCCGCAGGTTGCCGACCCTTGGGCTAAGGTTATGATTCATCCTGTAATTTCTAATTTGTTTAAGGTAGCTTTTAGAGCCAACTTGGCTAGGTCTAGATAGCTTTTAGAGCTTTTAAATGCACTGAGAATAAGCAAATAAAACTAATTTGCACCCTTTAATAAAAGCTTTGGTTGCTAAAATTTGTAAAAGATCTCAGTTAGCAATGATCCTATAAGTTCACAGACTACTAGGTAAAATAAGTTCAAATAGACCAAGAAAAAAATGGCAGGTGTCAATGATCCAATAATTTCACACAGACCAAGAAAAATGACCAGAGGTCAGAATGATGTTGGCTCAACAAGGTGAGTGATGGTCATGGAAGCATTTATAAATGTAGTTTAGTCCAGCAATGGTCATGGAAGCATTTATGAATGTAGTTTAGTCCAGCAATGGTCATGGAAGCATTTATGAATGTAGTTTAGTCCAGCAATGGTCATGGAAGCATTTATAAATGTAGTTTAGTCCAGCAATGGTCATGGAAGCATTTATAAATGTAGTTTAGTCCAGCAATGGTCATGGAAGCATTTATAAATGTAGTTTAGTCCAGCAATGGTCATGGAAGCATTTATAAATGTAGTTTAGTCCAGCAATGGTCATGGAAGCATTTATAAATGTAGTTTAGTCCAGCAATGGTCATGGAAGCATTTATAAATGTAGTTTAGTCCAGCAATGGTCATGGAAGCATTTATAAATGTAGTTTAGTCCAGCAATGGTCAGGGAAGCATTTATAAATGTAGTTTAGTCCAGCAATGGTCATGGAAGCATTTATAAATGTAGTTTAGTCCAGCAATGGTCAGGGAAGCATTTATAAATGTAGTTTAGTCCAGCAATGGTCATGGAAGCATTTATAAATGTAGTTTAGTCCAGCAATGGTCATGGAAGCATTTATAAATGTAGTTTAGTCCAGCAATGGTCATGGAAGCATTTATAAATGTAGTTTAGTCCAGCAATGGTCATGGAAGCATTTATAAATGTAGTTTAGTCCAGCAATGGTCATGGAAGCATTTATAAATGTAGTTTAGTCCAGCAATGGTCATGGAAGCATTTATGAATGCAGTTTAGTCCAGCAAGTGCCGTCAAACTTGAAGTTTTTTACATCATCCAATCTGATTCTCTGTTTACCAGGTATCAGGGTCAGTTGGGCAAATAGAAAATATCAGGGTCAGTTGGGCAAATAGAAAATGAATGAAGCAGCGCAATAAATGCTGGCATATTACTGGACTGTTCCCATAACTGATGTTGATAAATGTTCAAATGTCCTAGTTTTATTTTTTTTTTTTACTGCAAACTGGAATTTTGCGTCAAGTTTAAGTCAAATTTTGAAAATTTTGAAAACATTTTATTCTCAAATCCCTATTTCCAGGATAACCAGGATAAGTGGTATGCCTGTATGTCATGAGATGACACCAGTGTGTCATGAGATGACACCAGTGTGTCATAAGATGACAAGCTCGAGTCAGTATTCCTACCTTCAGCTAGAGGTGAAAAAGCTTCTAGTCCAGTAAGATGGAAGTTGTTGAGCTGTGAGGTCCTGGGGGAGGAGTGGGCTGAAAATAGTGGAAACTAACATAAGGGCTACGTTGTTTAGAGAGTCTAACATAAGGGCTACGTTATTTAGAGAGTCTAACATAAGAGCTACGTTATTTAGAGAGTCTAACATAAGGGCTATGTTGTTTAGAGAGTCTAACATAAGGGCTACGTTATTTAGAGAGTCTAACATAAGAGCTACGTTATTTAGAGAGTCTAACATAAGGGCTACGTTATTTAGAGAGTCTAACATAAGGGCTACGTTATTTAGAGAGTCTAACATAAGGGCTACGTTATTTAGAGAGTCTAACATAAAGGCTACGTTATTTAGAGAGTCTAACATAAGGGCTACGTTATTTAGAGTCTAACATAAGAGCTATTATATTGAGAGAGTCTAACATAGATTGGGCTCAACTCACATGCATTTTGGTTCAAGTTTTCACTAGCTAAAGGTGTAGATGGAAGTTGTCTGCGACTGACATTATCATTCTTGGAATCTTCCTGAAAAGTTGAATATAATGGTCAACAATTGAACAAGTGTTGGTCAACCATTTTGTTGGTCAACCATTTAACTAAACTGTAGACAAACAACCTTAACCAACTTCTTAAAATGACAATGGTGCCTCCAGCCACCAAGAGCTGCTTTTGAACAGCAGATTTACTTGCACACGAGAACTTCTTCAGCCTTCAGTTCCCTCATACCCAGACATGATTTTACAATCAGTTCCCAAATACCCAGACATGATTTTACAATCAGTTCCCTCCTACCCAGACATTATTTTACAATCAGTTCCCTCCTACCCAGACATGATTTTACAATCAGTTCCCTCCTAACAGACATGATTTTACAATCAGTTCCCTAATACCCAGACATGATTTTACAATCAGTTCCCTAATACCCAGACATGATTTTACAATCAGTTCCCTCCTAACAGACATGATTTTACAATCAGTTCCCTCCTAACAGACATGATTTTACAATCAGTTCTCTCTTAACAGACATGATTTTACAATCAGTTCCCTCCTAACAGACATGATTTTACAATCAGTTCCCTCCTAACAGACATGATTTTACAATCAGTTCCCTCCTAACAGACATGATTTTACAATCAGTTCCCTCCTAACAGACATGATTTTACAATCAGTTCCCAAATACCCAGACATGATTTTACAATCAGTTCCCTCCTAACAGACATGATTTTACAATCAGTTCCCAACTACCCAGACATGATTTTACAATCAGTTCCCAACTACCCAGACATGATTTTACAATCAGCTCCCTCCTACCCAGACATGATTTTACAATCAGTTCCCTCCTAACAGACATGATTTTACAATCAGTTCCCTCCTACCCAGACATGATTTTACAATCAGTTCCCTCCTAACAGACATGATTTTACAATCAGTTCCCTCCTACCCAGACATGATTTTACAATCAGCTCCCTCCTACCCAGACATGATTTTACAATCAGTTCCCTCCTAACAGACATGATTTTACAATCAGTTCCCAAATACCCAGACATGATTTTACAATCAGTTCCCTCCTAACAGACATGATTTTACAATCAGTTCCCTCCTAACAGACATGATTTTACAATCAGTTCCCAACTACCCAGACATGATTTTACAATCAGTTCCCTCCTACCCAGACATGATTTTACAATCAGTTCCCAAATACCCAGACATGATTTTACAATCAGTTCCCTCCTAACAGACATGATTTTACAATCAGTTCCCAAATACCCAGACATGATTTTACAATCAGTTCCCTCCTAACAGACATGATTTTACAATCAGTTCCCAACTACCCAGACATGATTTTACAATCAGTTCCCTCCTACCCAGACATGATTTTACAATCAGTTCCCAAATACCCAGACATGATTTTACAATCAGTTCCCTCCTAACAGACATGATTTTACAATCAGTTCCCTAATACCCAGACATGATTTTACAAAGGCTGACAGGACAAAGGCTGACAAAGGCTGACAGGACAAAGGCTGACAGGACAAAGGCTGACAGGACAAAGGCTGACAGGACAAAGGCTGACAGGACAAAGGCTGACAGGACAAAGGCTGACAGGACAAAGGCTGACAGGACAAAGGCTGACAGGACAAAGGCTGACAGGACAAAGGCTGACAGGACAAAGGCTGACAGGACAAAGGCTGACAGGACAAAGGCTGACAGGACAAAGGCTGACAGGACAAAGGCTGACAGGACAAAGGCTGACAACGACTGACAGGACAAAGGCTGACAGGACAAAGGCTGACAGGACAAAGACTGACAGGACAAAGGCTGACAGGACAAAGACTGACAGGACAAAGGCTGACAGGACAAAGACTGACAGGACAAAGACTGACAGGACAAAGGCTGACAGGACAAAGGCTGACAAAGGCTGACAAAGGCTGACAGGACAAAGGCTGACAGGACAAAGGCTGACAGGACAAAGGCTGACAGGACAAAGACTGACAGGACAAAGGCTGACAAAGTATTAAGTTAGCCAGATAAGTGTATGTAAAGTATTAAGTTAGCCAGATAAGTGTATGTACAGTATTAAGTTAGCCAGATAAGTGTACAGTATTAAGTTAGCCAGATAAGTGTATGTACAGTATTAAGTTAGCCAGATAAGTGTATGTACAGTATTAAGTTAGCCAGATAAGTGTATGTACAGTATTAAGTTAGCCAGATAAGTGTATGTAAAGTATTAAGTTAGCCAGATCAACACATTACTTTCTATGGCTCTCCCAGACTTGTTTTGATACATTACCTTTTTGATGAAACTTAAATGGCGTACTGAAGATTTATGTGCTGCTAGACTGAAGACAGGAGTGGAGGCTTGGCGCATGTCATAGAAGAATATTTTCCCCCTGGACGTGCCAACAACAACAGTAGCCCCATCATGCATCATGTCCACAGATGTCAGTGGCTGCTCCGCAACAATGGTTTTCACAGGTCTGAAACAAAGTTCAAGTCAATACACACGTATAAAAACTACTAACTAGCCCGTCACTACACACATATAAAAACTACTAACTAGCCTAAATCAATACACACGTATAAAAACTACTAGCTAGCCCAAATCAATACACACGTATAAAAACTACTAGCTAGCCCAAATCAATACACACGTATAAAAACTACTAACTAGCCCAAATCAATACACACATATAAAAACTACTAACTAGCCCAAACCAATACACACGTATAAAAACTACTAACTAGCCCAAATCAATACACACATATAAAAACTACTAACTAGCCCAAATCAATACACACGTATAAAAACTACTAGCTAGCCCAAATCAATACACACGTATAAAAACTACTAACTAGCCCAAATCAATACACACGTATAAAACCTATTAACTAGCTTATCAATACACATGTATAAAAACTACTATAGTAGCTCACCCTAACCTTTAAAACTAAGATAGAAAAACTAAGATAGTGTAGAAAAATTGCAAAAATTACTATAGAAGAAAACATGTTCTATTTAGAAAAACACAAGTCGTTAAAAAAACAAGTACTAGAGTGAAAATCAGAGCAAAACTACAGGTCTTACGATTTGTTCTGGACATCATAAAAAATGGCTCTTTTGTCCAGGCCGACACTGACCATCAAGCAATCGTTGATGGGAGAAAATGCCAGATCTTTGGCAGGTGCCTGGTGGCTGGTACTGAAGGAATGCAGCAGACGTCTGGAATTGGTGTCCCAAACATTTATCACGCCGTCATCAGAGGCAGACACTAATGAAGCTTTACGATAGGGATTGTACTTCATTTGACGAATGGCCTGCACAATATACAGTTGACATATTTCACATCTGGGAGAGTATTTTACACTTGCTAGCTGACATTAAGAATATCAAGGTTGAAACAAAGGACCTGTTACTAAACAAAGAACTAACAGGTCCCAAACCATGAATCTAATTCCTAAACTAAATTAAGGACCTCTAATTGAATTTAACGATTTCTCAACTGAGAACCTGATTAGAGATGAAGTACCTGAGCCTTACATCAAAGGAAACAAGTACCTGAGCCTTACATCAAAGGAAACAAGTACCTGAGCCTTACATCAAAGGTAACAAGTACCTGAGCCTTACAGTACCTGAGTAGATGATGGCATCAGTGGACTACTAGCTTGACCTGTCACCACATTATACAACACAATTTCCCCACTCTCTGAGCCCAGGGCAATGTATGTATCATTCCAGTTCCATCTCACGCTGCTCACTGGCTGCCTGTGCTTCTGAGAGACAAAATATCTTCCCCTTAGATAAACAATATCTTCCCATTAGATAAACAATATCTTCCCCTTAGATAAACAATAGCTTCCCATTAGATAAACAATATCTTCCCCTTAGATAAACAATAGCTTCCCATTAGATAAACAATATCTTCCCCTTAGATAAACAGTAGCTTCCCCTTAGATAAACAATATCTTCCCCTTAGATAAACAATAGCTTCCCATTAGATAAACAATATCTTCCCCTTAGATAAACAATAAATTCTTAGATAAACAATAGCTTCTCTTTAGACAAAACAATATTTTCTTTTTAGATAAAAGAATATTCTCTCTTTAGATAAAACAATAGCTTTGTTTTAGAGAAATATTTCACCAATCAGTAGAATATAAAAATAAAACAATAAAAATAGATTTAAAATGTCCATTTGATAGCCCACAAAAAAAGGAATGAGCAAGGACTTACAGAGTATGACTTTTTGATAGACTGAGTCTTGCGATCCCAGATGTGTAGGGACCCATCCACACATCCGCACAACAAAAACCTAGAATAGGAGTTGTAATCCAAACACAGGCAGCCAGCCTGCACAAGAGATGGGTAAACATGGCATGATCAACATCAACATCATTGTCATATGACATGACCAACATTAACATCATTGTCATATGACATGATCAACATCAACATCATTGTCATATGACATGAACAACATCAACATCATTGTCATATGACATGAACAACATCAACATCATTGTCATATGACATGAACAACATCAACATCATTGTCATATGACATGAACAACATCAACATCATTGTCATATGACATGAACAACATCAACATCATTGTCATATGACATGAACAACATTAAAATCATTGTCATATGACATGATCAACATCAACATCATTGTCATATGACATGAACAACATTAACATCATTGTCATATGACATGAACAACATCAACATCATTGTCATATGACATGAACAACATTAACATCATTGTCATATGACATGAACAACATCAACATCATTGTCATATGACATGAACAACATCAACATCATTGTCATATGACATGAACAACATTAACATCATTGTCATATGACATGAACAACATCAACATCATTGTCATATGACATGAACAACATTAACATCATTGTCATATGACATGAACAACATCAACATCATTGTCATATGACATGAACAACATTAACATCATTGTCATATGACATGAACAACATCAACATCATTGTCATATGACATGAACAACATTAACATCATTGTCATATGACATGAACAACATTAACATCCTTTTAACAGGTGCACATTACATAAACAATATCTGACCAGAGGTGCACATCACATAAACAATAACTGACTAGAGGCGCACATCACATAAACAATATCTGACCAGAGGTGCACATAACATAAACAATATCTGACCAGAGGTGCACATCACATAAACAATATCTGACCAGAGGTGCACATCACATAAACAATATCTGACCAGAGGTGCACATCACATAAACAATATCTGACCAGAGGTGCACATCACATAAACAATATCTGACCAGAGGTGCACATCACATAAACAATATCTGACCAGAGGTGCACATCACATAAACAATATCTGACCAGAGGTGCACATCACATAAACAATATCTGACCAGAGGTGCACATCACATAAACAATATCTGACCAGAGGTGCACATCACATAAACAATATCTGACCAGAGGTGCACATCACATAAACAATATCTGACCAGAGGTGCACATCACATAAACAATATCTGACCAGAGGTGCACATCACATAAACAATAACTGACCAGAGACCCCACATCACATGAAAAGTACCTGCCACTGAAGCACTTACAGGCAGTGTAAAAGAGTCTGCAGGGATAGAGTGTGAGGCTTTAGTTAACCTCAAATGGACGGTCCTATCAGTGTTGCAACAGGTAGCTATGGAATGACCTGCAATTAAAGTTCTAGTTTAATTAGCTCAACTCATTAGTTATTTTCTTTGGTGGTTTTTTTTTTGGCAAGCTACCATTTGAACTGTAGTGAGTGCTGTGTGTGACAAGGTTTAACCACTGAAACACTGAAATTACCATCGTGGCTCCATGTCAAATCTGAGATTGGGCTGTCATGAGAATTGAACTGCTCAAGCAAGGAAAATGTGGGGGCGTCCCAGATTTTTGCCTCGTCACCTGTTGAGGCCAGGCAGATCATATTTCCTGAGGAGATCAAAACAAACTATTATATGGACTTTTCAGTACAAACTATATGCCTAGACCCCTACTAAATGCATTACTTTATGATTCACTTGATACTGTAGACCAGGGCCACATTAACTATCAAATATCAGTTTGGGGGCCAGAGTTTCTTCCACACATCTCTTCGGGGTGGCAAAGCTCCCCCCCCCCCAAATGAAATATAATTTATATAGAAATATTTATACAAATTTCAAGTGTGCCCCCCCCCCCCCCCCCCCAGAGAAGAAAGTCTGAAAGAAACACTGTCGGGGGACCGACAACACAAATTGTTCTTCATGTATTCCATACTTGAAAATGTTTGTTCACACAGGTATGTTGTTCCAAAATTTGAAAGACACTTTGATGCAAAAGTTTTCATTTTAGGAAAGTCTTCCTTGGCCAAATTTTTATAAAACCCACCCGCCCTTCTTTGAACTTGTCTCTAAGGAGGTCATTTGATAGTGATTCAATGACCTCCAGCTGCAGTTTATTTGGGCAACTGGCCACATTTGATTGTGATTCAATGACCTCCAGCTGCAGTTTATTTGGGCAACTGGCCACATTTGATTGTGATTCAATGACCTCCAGCTGCAGTTTATTTGGGCAACTGGCCACATTTGATTGTAATTCAATGACCTCCAGCTGCAGTTTATTTGGGCAACTGGCCACATTTGATTGTGATTCAATGACCTCCAGCTGCAGTTTATTTGGGCAACTGGCCACATTTGATTGTGATTCAATGACCTCCAGCTGCAGTTTATTTGGGCAACTGGCCACATTTGATTGTGATTCAATGACCTCCAGCTGCAGTTTATTTGGGCAACTGGCCACATTTGATTGTGATTCAATGACCTCCAGCTGCAGTTTATTTGGGCAACTGGCCACATTTGATTGTGATTCAATGACCTCCAGCTGCAGTTTATTTGGGCAACTGGCCACATTTGATTGTAATTCAATGACCTCCAGCTGCAGTTTATTTGGGCAACTGGCCACATTTGATTGTAATTCAATGACCTCCAGCTGCAGTTTATTTGGGCAACTGGCCACATTTGTTTCAAATGGGTTTTGAGTCTCACTTCTGCCTTTGAATCCAAGTCAGAAAATCACTATTGAAACTGCAGCTGGAGGTCTTTGATGATCTTTCATGGAAATGACCCGGGGGGACTCAGCTGTTGCTTCAGCCATGAAGACCTTGCACTGCTGAAAGTGCGTCAAGTTATTGTTTTGTACTTGTTCCGAAAACATGACAAGTTTGGATCTGAAGGCCTTTAGATGGGTGTATAGATCAGAAACTAGATTTCCCTCTCTTGTAGTTTTAGGTTCATAAAATTGAAATGACTAGTTTCATCTGCAGCAGAGGCCAATTTCTATACCCTCTCTTCATCAGACATTAATGGCTGTAGCTTGCCTTTACTTTACTTTTCTTAACTTAAATACTCTGCTTAGAACTTTCTCAAAAACTTAGCCATCTTACTGCTGTGTAATATGGTAAATCTTGCAATTCTCTGTTTTCACCTTTCAACATGTCCCTGAACTTCTATGGTCTTTTATCATATTATTTTAATTAACTTACATCAATGTGAATTTAAAGTACATAATCACCTTCAAATTTTACTGTTTTTGAATGATATAAGCAAAGAAATTAAAATCAGTTTAGCATTGTAGCCCTTTCTTGTTAGAAAGTAGCTGCGCTGGACAAAAATGACCTTTTAACTTTGACCAACAGTAACAAAACCACATAAGCTAGATGAAATATCTGAACTTTCTGTGAATGTATACAATATTGATAACATTTCAGCAAATTTTCAGCTAAATATTCCAAGTGGTTAAAAATTGGTAACAGATGTATGTTGTCTGTTGGAGAATTCTTCGTCACAAAATTAAGGGGGGGGGGGGGGGGGGGGGTACCATAGTTTCATGCCCATTTTTATTAAAAAAAATATTTTTTTTATCAACTTTGATCAGTGGGCATATTAAAGTATATAATAACCATCATTTATATTATCTTTAAAGAATAGGCCTATAGGCAAAGTTATCTAAAATAAGCTAGGCATTGTAGTTCTTTCTTGCAAGAAAGTAATTGCGCAGAATAAAAAGTACTTTTTGATTTTGACCATTACTGTAACATAACTACATAAGCTAAGTAAAATATTTTTACTTTCTGTGAATGTGTACATTGTTGGCATCATTTAAGCCAATTTTTACTGAAATATTCCATATAATAAAAATTTGGCAGCAGATTTAGTATTGCCTATATAAGACATTTGCTCAAAAATTTTAGGGGGGGTTGCCCTCTTGGTTAACATTGCTTTTAACAATTTTTCACATCCACTGAAATTAGTTGTATCTTACCCTTTTACCGATATGATAAGCTTGATCCTAGTGAATTTTTATTAAAAAATACCTGGTATTTAAAAAAGTTACAGAGGTTTTTGTTCACATCCAAAAAACAAGGGTTACAGAAATTGGAAAAACCCCATTAGGCCTATAAAAAAAACGTTAAAAAAACCGTTTGAGCTAAAATTAAAATATCTTTATTCCTGGCTAAACTAGCTCTATAAGATATAAGATGGTGCTATTACATTTTTCAATTTTTTAAAATTCAAATTTTATCCTTGTCCCTAATCACCCTAATCTGACTAAAGTTAGGCATTCCGACTTCCGCTGTTTCGATTCGGTATTCCACATCCGGACTTTTTGATGCAGACTTTATAAAATCTCGCCATTTTCTGAAGAATGCCGAATCTCACTGTTGGAATCGAGTTTTTAGAAATATTCGATATAGATATTCTGGTGTAGTCGTATTATATGTTTCAATTAGAAAGTTACCGCCATTATGACAATCTTAAAGCCGAAATCGATCGCACGATTCTAATGAGTTTATCTCGCGAACATGTCCCGTACGGTGCTGTCACATTTTAAATAAGTTTACGTATTAAACACATTATAAGTGTCTTGCCATTAGTTGTAAGTGTCCATTAAATAAACAAATATTATTATAATAACGGTTTTATGGCACTTACTACTTCTGTTTACGAGTTATCATACATGTCAAATCCCCGAGCTAGCGCTTCGGCCTTGACAACGCCATGGCGTCGGTTTAGCACCGCTTTACCTATTATCGATAAAATACACGCACTAATGCCAATGACGTAGTTTTTGAAGTTGGAAAGAATTTAAATTGTGGGTGGCACTGTTAAACTAGATAAAATACATTGATCAAGTTATCTATTAAAAATTAAAAACGACAGGCAAGAAGCTTAGGCTTACATTAACTAGTGTCAACGTTTTATAATTTTATCTCAAATAGCAGCAGTGGTATGCAAGCCTAAAGCCAATCACACAATTATATCCGATGTTACAGTGATATATTATTATATAAGTTATAACAAATAACAAGTTTAATACATAACTTTAAAAATTCATATAAAAAAAACTATTAGGCCTAGAATGATAAATTTGGTATTTTTATCAATGGGGTATATTATAGGATTAATCTGTGTACATTTTATCATTCTATGATAATTAGGAAAAATATCCCAACATTCCTAGACTAAAGTATCTAGTATCTACTAGATTTCTACATTTTCTAGGTCTAGATTTAGATTCTAGATCTAGATTAGTAGGTAGATAGTAGATAGATCTAGATCTAGATTATTCTAGCTAGATTCTAGATCTAGAAATCTAGATTCTGTAGATCTAGATCTAGATTCTCTATCTCTAGAAATCTAGGCTATTTTATATCTAAATTCTACATATAGATCGAAATCTAGCCTACATTGAATAATCGAATAATATTGTAGGCCTTTAAAATCTGAATTTATTATTTTTCCTAGTCTGGCGCCTTGCATTGAATTTTTATTTTGTTTTGATATTAGAGTTGTCGTTCCTAACTTAAAATTTCCAATCATTGCTTGTAGGCAGTCATAGGCGTCGTTAGTCCTAGATTCTAGATCTAGATCCACATTTTTCTTTCGCTTTTAAGCAAATGAAACTTAGGCTGTTGTGCGGCGTGCCTAACAACCGTCATTGTTAGGGAATGAAGTTTAGTTCAATCTACTTTTATATCAATTAATGATGAGCCAGCACTTTTTTTTACTTCTGCTTTTTATTTGTACACGCATTTACGTGGGTTGGGGGGGGGGGGCATCCACAAATGACGTCTTGCTTTTTTGGATTTTTATCTCCCCCAGCACACCGTCAAGCATCGTTAATGTGTGTATAATAGTGCGGAATAATTTATATATATATATATATATATATATATATATATATATATATATATATATATATATATATATATATATATATATATATATATATGTTGGGTTCTTCTGTCTAGGGGTGTATATATATAACAACAGACAAATATAACGTATACAACAGTAGATAACACTAACACTCTATAATGAGAATAATATTAAGATATTATATAATAACAGTACGGTAGAAAAATCAAATTAATTTAACTTTTTTTTTCTAATTTTGACAAAGGAGGTTATTAAAAAATGTGAATGCAACTATACGGTCGTCATAGAAGGAATTAATGTTGCAATAATATAATTAGCAAAATGTGAATGCAAATTATGCGGGTGTGTAAGAGGAAATTATTGTTAGAAAATTATAATTAGCATGGATTGATAAAAGGCAATCTTTTATTTATTTTATTCACTGAATGTACTGTTTATTACTTATAATTTTTAATCAACTATTCCGCACTATTATAGACGCGTCATCACGTTCATTAGGTGCGCAATGGTTTTAGTTATTAAACTCTATTGTAATTTTTTTTAATTTAAAGTACTGGGGAAAAAAATGTGTGAATTGATAAAGTGATATATGGTAGGTAAAACACGGATATTTTAAATACTGCCTATTATTTATACTGTTTACTAATTATTATTCTATCTTTCGGTTTGCGGACAAGCTGGGAGTTTTATAGGAGAGGCGTAGCGAGGGGGGGGGGGAGGGCATATGTCCCCGGGTGCCGACCTTAGGGGGCGCCAAAGTGGGGTGGAAATCTAAAGTTTTAGGGCGGGGGGTGCAAATCGAAAGTTTGAGGGGGTGCAAATCAAAAGTTTGAGCGGGGGGAATTTTAAATCAAAAGTTGTGCAAATCGAAAGTCTGAGGGGGATGCAAATTAAAAGTTTAAGGGGCTGGGGTGGAAATTGAAATTTTGACGGGAGGGGGTGCAAATCGTAAGTTTGAGGGAGGTTCAAATCGAAAGTTTGTCCCCGGGCGCCGGAAAGGGTCGCTACGCCTCTGTTTTGTAGTCATTCACTGTGTCAGACGCGTCCGCCGGCGCTAGGAAAGGGCGCGATTTGGAGCTACAGGCTAGACTGTGAGCAATATGCCTTTATGATTGCATTTAAATTGGGTTTATGTTATGAGTGTTGTGTTTGTTTTTTCGTTTGTGTTTTTTCTTTTTTGAGTTCGTTTGTGTTGTGTTTAGTTTTGTTCTGTTCCCAAGTTGGTACATTTAAAAAAAGATTACCGTGCCGGAGCACGGGATGCAGCTAGTATGTATGTAATATTGTTGGCCACTAACTCTTAAAGTATTTTTTACTGTTATAAACGTACACTACGCTTTATTACAAGTCTTTTATTTTCTAAGTGTTAGAAAATGTATATACTTACCAATCCAGTGTAAATTCTTCAGATTAACGTTTGCGCAAAAGAAAAAAAAACCGACCCCCCTCCCTCCCCTCATCTTGGTTTTTACCGGTCGCTGTTTCATAAGGGTATTTTAACGTTACGTAATCGAGGTAGAAAACAGTTAAATCAGAATATAAAGATTTGTGGCCGTTTATTTTCTTTGACTTCGAATATTTCAATACATTGTGTCGGCGCAGGGGTGACAGCCCCGCCAGCTCCCCCTCCTCAAGCTACGCCACTGCCACCCCGGCCACTCCAGCCTACCTCCCCTGAATTTCTGACATACATTTTAACTCGCCCTTCCCTAAAATAACCATATTTCATAAATCATATCAACGATAGGCGTCAGGCAAGGCTGCTTGTTTTCTCCCATCCTTTTCAATATCTCGTTCACATGACAAAACTTCTATTAGCACAAAAAACATGCGGTCACTGATGGTTTCTATACTTCTGTATGGATGCAAGGCATGGACCCTCAAAGCAGACTTCCAGAGAAGAATCCAGACCCTGGAAATGAAATGTGTACGCAGACTCCTAGGGATCTACACCGAGATAATATGAAGAAGTCTGGGGAATGAACACTAATGCGATTGGTCTTTTTCACTCGATTGAAAGTCTAATGAGCACAGTCAAAACAAGAAAATTGATTTGGTATGGGCATGTAACGCGAATCAACGGCAAGGGGAAGGCAAAGATGATACTGGATGGATGACATCAAGGATTAGATGGGTATGCCCGTCTCAGAACTAATAGGAGCGACAGAGGACCCAGATGGATGGACGAGAGTTATAAGGTCAACTATGCTGGCCTAACAACCCAAATAAGGATATAAAATTAAGTTGTTCTATAATTTTTATTACAATAAATAGGCAGATATCATGATATATCACCATCTCCTATCACCGACATGCAGTGTGGAACTCCAACTACTAACTCTGTCCAGATGGATTCACCTGCTAAAGGAATCTTTGGACACAAAGACTTAAAAAGAAACAGACATTTCTGCACAGATCATACTGCAATATCAAAAAATGATCATAGCATAGGATGAAACTCTTTAATACAATAAATATGTAGACTGCGCTTGGATCATAAATATCGGGACACAGGTTTACCTACACTGCCGCGTGAAAACCTTGAGTGTACATTAATCACTCACCGAAATAATGAGGTAGAACACACTTCGGTGACCGCCCATGTGTCAGGGACGTAGAGGGGCGCTTTCAGGAGCCCCCCCCCCCTCGAATACACTACAGCATCGGTGCCGCGTACGGCCCCTGGCTCCTTAAAAACTAACAGGCGCCATCGTGCCAAATAGCATCCTGTTAACAATAATGCAGATTGCGTCATTCGCAAAAGTGACACAAATGAACAGGATTTTTTTCCTAAACACGTAAAAAAATGATCTGACGAGTTTTAAACATCAGTGTGAATGATGCAATATGTAAGCGTTACTAATAGTCTATTATTAGATGCTCGATCTCAATTTCTGATTGATTGTCTAAAAAAAGATGCTAATTACATCATTCGCAAAGTGACGAAACTTTGGAATTTTTACGGACAAAAAGAAACACCACAGTTAATAATCTAACCTTGGTTAGTTTTTCTGATTATTAAAATAAAACGTATTACATGGCCCTCAGCGGCCCATGTGAGCATTTGGGGGCCGAAACTGAAATTTTTGTTTGCAGCCAAATCGCACCCTACCAGGGCGCCGGTGGACACGCCTGATTCAATTTAGTAAACGTTTGTAACGCCACATCCTATCTATTGTCTATCACGCTATTTAGACCCAACGTAGTCGCCATAGCGCTCACAGTAAAGAACAGTGCGCCAAATAGCATCCTGCCGGGGGGCCTCCCATGCAAAATTAAATCCCCCCTCCCACCACCATCCACACACTCCCACCTTTCACCCACCCCAGAAACCTTATCGGGAGTATTCATCAACTCCCTAAAGTTTTATGGCACTCGGATAAACTGTGTCGAACCGCAATCGTCTTTTATTTGTATATACCGTACATATAGAAAAATCGCACACTCCCGCGGCGCCGCCCTTGCGAAATTAAAAAAATATTTTTGCAGAACCCTTCCAGGTAGTGTTCTAATCAACTCCCCCAAAGTCTCATGGCTATCGGATGAACGGTGTCAAACCAAAATCGACTTTTATTTTTATACACCGTACATAGAGAAAAATCACACCCTCCCGTGGCGCCGCCCTTGCGAAATTAAATATGTTTTTTTAACAGAACCCTTCCCCGTAGTGTTCTAAAGAACTCCCCAAAGTTTGATGGCAATCGGATGAACGCCGTGAAACCGCAATCGACGTTTATTTTTATATACCGTATCTAGAGAAAATTGCACCCTCATGTGGCGCCGCCCTTGCGAAAAAAAAAAATGACTTTTTTACAGAACCCTTCCCTGGAGTGTTCTAATCAAGTCCCTGAAGTTTGATGGCTATCGGATGAACGTTGTGAGACCGCAATCGACTTTTATTTTTTATATACCATATATGTAGAGAAAACAAATCGCGCCTTGCCAGGGCGCCACCCCTGCGAATTTGAAAATGTTTTTAGCGCAGAAACCTCCCCAGGAATATTCTTAACATCTTCCCGAAGTTTCATGGCGATCGTGTGAACGGTGTCACCGTAATTCACTTTTACTATTTTTATATACCACATGTAGAGAAAAATCGCATCCTCCCGAGGCGCCGCCCTTGCGAAATTAAAAAAGAATTTTTGCAGAACCCTTCCCTGAATTTCTTTAATCAACTCCCCAAAGTTTGACGGCGATTGGATGAACAGTGTGAATCTACAATCGACTCTTATTTTTTATATACCGTTTATAGAGAAAAAACAAATCGCGCCCTGCCGGGGCGCCACCCCTGCTAATGTGAATTTTTCCCCCCCGCAGAAACCTCCCCAGCAATACAGAGGCGTAGCGACCCTTCCCGGCGCCCGGGGACTGTAATAGATTGAGATAATTGTGAGGTCAAGGGAACTCACTCTTCTGTATTAGTTATATTTATAATATTGTTATCTTGAGTGATGTCCCTTGTGTACTTCCTTCCGTCCTTCCGCCCTCTCTGGTATTACCATCATGATGTAGTTAGACCCATTAAATGTGTTATATACAACCACAGGCTTCTGTCGTCAATCTATTATAACTGGCGACGAAGGATAAACATCTACTAGAAAGAGCACCTACTTACGCAAAAAAGAGGTTTGCTAGA